AATATCAAGATGTAAACGATTGAGGGGTAATTCCAAAGAAGAGGAAGAGATAAAGGTCATCTGGAAAGCCGAATGTCTAGTCAATGAAGTTTCCAAATCAACATACAATAAAAGAGGAGAGAGTCCAAGTGGAAAAAAAAGTCTGATTAGAATTTCGAAATGTCTAAAGTAACCAGAGATCTTTCACAAAAGAAAAATGTAAATAGGACAAACTGAATTGTGGTTAAAACAGGGTTAGAAAGATTTTATGGATGGGATATGTGACTCTTACCTGAAGTAGAATATTTATCTGTGCCCGATGTCGTTGTCCTGCAGCACACTTCTTGGCTTGTAACAGGGACAGCAGCTTAGGGGAGTAGAAGTCCAACATTGACATGAATTTTGGCTCAAGGTTCAGTGTTGATTCTATAACAACATACGATTGGTTCTAGATTTGATAGATTACAATGATTTATTTACAGAGAAGGGCTTTATAGTATTCCTAGATTTGTATAAAGCCTTTGACTCAGTAGAACATCTGTTTATTTTAGAAGCTTTGAAACATTTTGGATTTGGTCAGAAGTTCACAAATCTAATTAGTATACTTTATAGAGATATTAATAGTTGTGTGTCTTTAGAACATGGCACTTGCTCAAGATTTTTAGTTAAGAGGGGCATTAGGCATTGGTGTAACAGTTCTCCTTTACTTTTTATAATAGTTGCTGAATTACTGTCCATTATGATAAAGAACAGTGGAGCGGAAGGCTTTAATATATTGGGGAAACATTATAATAACACAATTTGCAAATGATACAACTTTGTTCTTAAAAAATGAAAACCAAATTATCACAGCTCTAGACTCAATTAATCAGTTCTCTAAAGCATCAGGTGTTATGTTAAATATTAATAAGTGTGAGATTCTTGCTTTGCATAAACAACCAGCTTGCTCAATCAGTAACATAAGTGTTAAAACTGAAGTTAAATATCTGGGTATTACAGTCACCCGAAACAAAGAAATAAGAGAAAAAGAAAATATTCTTAGAAATATTCCATCCATCCATC